GCATTTAGAGCCAATTAATTCAGTGCACAATCCCAGGGAGCCAAATTATACTTAATCTTTATACAGAAATGGACCAGAAAGAAGTTTAGTATTAGATCGTTGTTTATTCTTTCTATTCAGAGATTCCTTCAATAAATCATAAAACCGTTACCACAAGCAGAATGAGGTCAGCCAGGGTGGGTTCCTGGAAGAAGCTAGGCTGACAGGACTGAGACGCCTGTCCATCAATGACCTTCACCCCTTCAGTGTCACACACTTATTTCTCTCTGGTTACATTTGCCACAAGTGCGGGCTATTATCACAGTAAAGTTATAAAATGTACCTTCTGAAGGTTACCTTCACCACACCTCGTATTTGATGACAGATCTGTCGGCTGTCAGTTTGCACCTCCCGGGGCCCATCCCAAAGTGAAGTAACAGCACCCACAAGAGGCCCATGACTCTGACCAGGCAGCACCTGTGGGCCCAGCATCCCTACACAAGTGTCCTGGTGCCATTGTGATGAGGAATTCATTGGGAACAGGAGTCCTTGCTCCCAATTACCACAGAATTGGATAGACACCCTCTTTTCAGATTTATAGCGACACCCACTGCCACTGGATGGCGATTTCTGGAAACTTGTGGTGAATGCTAGAGCTTTCTAGTGGATCTAGAATCCCCAAAGACAGCCAATTCAAATAATCCACCAAAAGACAAGACTGGGAAGGCAAGTTACCTACATTTTAGTGCACCTGAAAGTCAAGAAAAAAAAAATTTAAATCTTTTTGTATTATTTCAAAGCAATATTTATATAGACCTTCACAGTTCTCAGAATAAAGTCATAGGAAAGACAGACATTCTTTTTCCTCGTGTCCGGACCAGGAAGCAGCTGGGGACAGAAGGTAAGAAACTGAGCAGAACAGGACACTGGATCCCCTGTGTCACACACCAGTGTGCAGTGGGGCCCCAGAAATCTCATTCCCGGAGCTCTACTCCCTTCGAGAAAAACATCATTTGAGAAAATTACACTTTAACTAATATGACTAATCTATTGGAATTCTCATTAGAAACCATTTTTATTGGCAGGTTCAGGAAAGGAGATTGAAATTGTTCACCTTCCTCTTCTCTGTCCATCGTCCATAATGCAAACTCCACTTTCCCTGCTATCAACAAGGGACTTGGTATGACTATTAAAACATTTTAAAATCTACTTCAGGATGCTCTTTCCAAAGCACTGGGTAGCAATACCCATCGTTCATAAGGAGAACTGGCAGGGACAGCCCATGTCACCACCCCAGCTGACTGGGACCTAAGCTGAACCCAGAGGTCATGTTCAGAAAAAATGAAAAGAACATCCTGAAGCTGTGCGTACAATTTTAAGATGATTTATTTCCACGTCAGTTTATTTTGATTTATGTGAAAAATAAATTGTTCAGTCTTCAAGAGGGTACGTCCACTTCGAGGAAAGGGGAGGTGGAAGAACTTACCCTCCATGAGATCTGACACATGTCAGGAACACACATCCAGCTGTTTAAACTTCCTACACTTCAGAGACGCATCAGGTTCAAATCCAGTACAAGTAGATTTCAGAGACTATTTGATTTTATTTATCCAATTTGAACAACACTACGTGCTCACTCCTGAGACCACATCCTCAGGACAAAGAAGCCGGCCCTCGCATCCCTCCACGTACGCTTCCTCTCCCCCCTATAACAAGGAGCATTAGCAAAAATGTTGGTAGAAAAATTCCATCCGCCTATGCAAAGGCATCACACCCTGCTTGTAATGAAACCATGATGTGGCCTCCTTGTTCAGCCCACACAGCTTCGTCAGGAATGCCTGCTGTGGATCCAAGCCACGTGTAAGGGCCTGTGTGTGGACCGAGGGGTATTGCTAAACATTACTAAACACGTGTGATAATGTGAGTTTTGTATTAACTAATGTATTTGTATCATAAATAAGTGTAGTGAAGCCAAGGGCATGAAGAAAAATAAAAAGTAAATTCTCCCACTGCCTTGCAGTGTGGCCGGGCACATTACACGTCACCGAGTGAATCACTTAGATAACAAATGTCTGGGGGGTAGTTACACGACTCGATCTGTTTCTCAATTAAGAATGATTCTGAACACAGGAGGTCTCTAGCCATCGGTCACTGTGGCTTAAATAATGTTATCACAGGGTCTACATAGGTAGGTCCAAAATACAACTCTGAAATGAAATGCTGGGCACACTCAGGTCAGATCCAGTTCACTCTCCCTCTATCAGACACACACATCACCATGTTCTCTAAATGATAGGTCAGCAAACAGGAATTCAGAGCCGGCCCCGGGAAAACACAGAGGCAGCTGCCTGAGGCGATCCTGTTGTGTCTTTCTTGCCCCCTTTTCTACCCAACACCCAACATTTTCTATCTCCTTCATGCCACTGTTCCGGCATAACGCTGGGCAACATGCCCTCTTTCCTCCCTTACAAGTAAGACTCCGGGTGCATGGCCGGCGCCCAAGGCCCGTGTGAAGCTCAACCGCACCTGCTGCAGACGCTCGGCGGCCTGCTGCCTCTGGAACTCAGTGAACATCACCAAGCACCACAGGAGCCGAGAATCACGCAGGTGCTGGGAACTAAGCGATGAGCGAAGCAGCCAAATATCCAGCCCTCAGGCCACTGAGGGGAGAGAGAAATAACAAGCAAAAATGTTACCGTGACCAAGAGTGCTAAATGCTAGGGAGACAAACTAAACATGCGGGGAGGACAGGGGGTCAGGAGAGGCTGTGGGGGCTCACAGCGGGCCCACAGTCTTGGCTCAGATCAGTGAGCATCTGTATCTGAACACTTTTAAGCACTCTCAATATCCCCACCAAGTTACCCTAAAACACAGACAAAGAGTTTTTAGTAGAATGCAGACAATCCTATATAGGTGGCGTTGTACGACTCCGTCACAAGATGGCCGCCACGATGTCATTACAAGACGGCCATGATGTCATCATAAGATGGCCGCCACAAGATGGCCACGCCCCACATCGTCACATGGCCACCACAAGATGGCCACCGCCACGTCATCACAAGATGGCCGCCACAAGATGGCTGGCAGGGGAGGGCAGTTGGGGGCGATCAGGCAGGCAGGCAGTTAGGAGCCAGTAGTCCCAGATTGGAGAGGTGTTGGCCGAGTTGAGGGACAACCCCCCCCATAACGAATTTCATGCACCGGGCCTCTAGTTATTTATATATTTTTTAAATCTAACTTCAAAGTGTTCTGCCCTACCTTACATAAACCAATGAAATCCCACTGGTATAAAAGACAGTTAAGCAATTTTAGAAAACTGTAGAACACATTTTCTTAGGTGGCTCTCTGTCCATCAAAACAATATAAAAGGGGGTGGCTAGAAACGTATCTTTATTGTTGAGTGGAAAGCGTGACACTTTTTAAGACGCTTTATAGGGACAGGACAAATCCGAATCATTACTGCAAGGAAAAAAAAGTTAAGTCACTGAGAAAGGCAGAGTGGTGAGGGGAGGGGGGCGGAAATAACAAGATACCATTCCAAAACCAAATAGCTTCCCTTTTATTAATGCTCAAGAAGTGAATTTTGACAATAATAAGCAAAACAAATGAAAACATCAAATTTGTTTGTATAGCATCTGTTGTGTCTTTCTTCCTTAAGAAATGTACACATTAATAATCCTAATCTAAATATGAGAATTATTCTGATCTCAAAATGCAACACTGAATTGTGTTCCATTACTGCTTCTAACTTACAGTGTTTTATAGTCAACAGGAAGAATTATAGACACCCAAGTTCAGTATAACCAGGGATTTCATGTCAAGGTATAAATAGAGTCTTTAAGAAATAAGCTATATAATAAAATAAGTTTACTTTTGAATAGCAGTACAGTCATTTTCTTCAGTCAATAAAAATATTCCTTGGTTATAAAGCTGCCTTATTTTGCACATGTATTTCAGGAAAATAGCTCTAACAATATTGAAATGCCACACTTCTTTTTTAAAAGGCAGCGAAGCAACAGAATTCTGATTTTAAATAGTATATTGCAAAATAGTTCTACCTAGTATTTCTAAGCACAAAGTAAGCTCCATTCGGAAGGAGGATTTTAATCTTATAGAGCAAACTGTTCTGATATTTCTGTTGTAGATTAAGGTCTAAATATCTACAATTAGGGATCAATCATTACACATATAGGACCATAAACTTCAATACATATCCACAATACAAATGTTTGGCATTATCACCTCACTCTGTTATGAAGAGTAGTTTGTCAACACACGCTCAACAAGGAAAATAAAACCATGATGACTCAGCCCCGCGGCTGTAACAGAATGGCTTTCAACAAATGAAAATACAAAACAGCAACAAGAGGGAACACCAGATTTATGAATAAAAAAAAAAACGAGAAATCATAAACATTTAAATGATTAACTATTATATTCTTCCTAACACATCTTAATTTGCACTCTTCTCTTCAATATAATTTTTTAATGTTTTTCATACCCCAGGAGGAAATGATGGCAAAGATGAAAGTGCATCCTATGGTAAAAGTGCTTCATGTGTGTCTGTGTGTGTTTTAGAGATCTCTCCAATAAGGAAGTTAAATAAGTATGTGCAAAAAATCCTCATTATGACTTGAACTCATAAACCTAATCATAGTTTTTATAATTCATCCCGATGAAGCAGTCACCGACACAGACGAGAAAGCAGAGAGTATCCGCTTTGTACAGAGGAAAGAGCATGAGCCATGCTCAGGAGACCCACGCTCCCTCCTCAGGCCTCAGCCATCTAGCCAGTGGCTGTGGGTGAGAAAAAGGCTCAGACTCCACATCCGTGCAAGGCCCCATCCAACTCCAAAATTCTAACCTAGCTTTCGATGAGGCCCTCCTGAAAGGGCAAATAATTTTGCCCCAAATATGAAAAATACACTAATCACAGAGCTTCTTATTGTACTGCTAGTACAGGACAAAACGAAAACCCCAAAATACTTGACAGGAAAAGGCCATGTGAACATCAGATTTAAGCAAAGCTGGGCAAACCCGCACGACCAGGAAACACCCAGTACTGTGTGCACAGATGAGACAGAGCAACAGCAGCGGGCCACCCACGGGCACGTTTACCCTACGTCTCGGAACTATCTTGGGTCTAAAGCTTCAAAAGCTTTTAAAAACGCTTCTTTCAAAACTGTTCTGAGGGAACTGTGACCCCCACAGTTCACAGTGCTAGCTTTTCAAAGGAGTCCCTCTGGATTATAATCGTGGTTTTTAGGAAGACAGCCATATTTTCAAATTTTAAATAGTGGCTAATTAAAGTCGACATTTGCCAGACTCTTTATTCTGTCTTACATACACATGCATGCTTGTATGTACACACACACACACACACACACACACACACGCTCACTCACCGAACACGCCAGGAGTTTAACTCAACAGTTCTCATCCACGAGCTTCGACCCATTTATTCCGCGGTAGGTTACTCGGCTCGGTCTCACCAGGACGCCGTGGTTCGGCTTGCAGGTGAAGTAGCGCGTGTCGCCCACGGCTCCGTCGTTTCTCCCCTTGGCGCTCCGCAGCTCCAGCCCCAGCCAGATGCCCACGGCGAAGTCGGTGGGGCCCACGTAGCGCACGGTGCCCATCTCGTTGGAGCTGGTGAGCAGGACCTGGGAGCC